TAAGGCTGTGTCTGTATATGTTGTGCAACTGCTGTCTTTTATGCCTTTTCAGAATTAGGCTCTTCTAGAGATTTTAAATGTTAGGAGTGGATCCTCTACAGGAGAATTTTTCACACTGAAAACATAGTCATGGTGATCACTGGAGTATTCTTAGGGCTACAATGTGAATGCTTGCAAGGGGTTTGATGTTATCAGAGATGCAGGACATTTTGAAAAGCAGTTTTTCTCTTGCTGTCTTGCTGACAGTTTTTAGAGACTGTCATGGAAGCCATTGCAAATCTCTCCTATTTAACACAAATCTTTTCAGCATATGTAAACTATATATCTTGTGTGCAGAGAGTCTCATATGCAATTACTATCAGTATATATTCTGATCTATGTCATGTAATCATGCAGTTTCCTCCTAGGATTCAGGTAACATAACATTGCAAAACCTGATTTAAAATAAATACTAGCTCAAATTTGCAGGTAAACTTAAACATTTATCTATTTGTGTATTATATTTTTATCTTCTCGTTCTTCCTCCAAGTATAGTACCTCAGGCTAGTTTACATAATTGTTGATTTACTTATTCATCTCAATCTCTTTTGCCATCTCCTTTTCAAATATCCTGGGAGATATATTTGACTGAGAAAGAGATGAAGTGAAACTTCCTCAAAATGTCCCAGTGGCATGCTGCAGAATAATGATTTTAATCTGGGCCTCTCCAAGTTTTCAACATTGTATTTGCATGGTTAACTATTTTAACCTGATTTTTTTGAGTTTATAGAATAAGCTAAAATGTGATCGTTTTGAATAAAGACACATCACATACATCTGATTAACTCTAGACCGAGTAAAACCTTATGCTCAATGTGTTTTTGCATTTAATGGACTTTTTCAAAATGAAAATAGCTACCTGGGTGCAGTGGGGAAAGGGGAAGTGCAGTTAATTATTAAGATCATAGTAAGCAGGGAAGGGGACTTTAATCTTTTCATCAGTTTGTTCCTTCCAGGCTGCTATTTGGCAATAGAAAGAAAACTTCTATTGATATCAAAGAGAACTTTTCCCAGTGGGAATTGCAGCTTTGCAAGAACAGGTTTTCTTGGGACTACAGCAAAGGAGGAAAAAATTAGCTTGAATTAGCCTGCTGGGATTCAGGCAAAGGCTCCTCTGTGCTTCAGATTCAGTTCCAAAAAAAATGCTTCAAAGCCCATGGGAAACAATGTTCTGCAACTTTTTAAAGCAACTGCTTCTTTTTCTGAGAATCACATGGCAGCTGCAGATGAACAGTTGCAGATAGATGCTATGTTTGTGCCCCCTGTGCTTTTCTGAATTATATCAAAAGTATTATACAGCCCTAATAATTATGTTTGCACTTTTAAAAGTACAGTAATGTTACCACAGTTTGGCATTCTTGGCTATAAATTAATTCCAGCTGATATGTGCTTTCAAGCTCCGATACTGCAAATGTATGATGTTATTGTGTGGTTTGTGAATCCAACTGAAGTTTACCACAATCAGAGCTTAAAGAAATCACCTGAGCTGTGATAAGTTATCTATGGACTGTTCCATGGATGTTTCCAACTAGTATCTCGCATTTTCTGTGTGTACTATTTTTGTTGGGGAAACCTTTCAGATATTACAACATAGCCAGAATACTTGCTTGGGTTAAATGAACTTTTACCTAGTTTGAAAAATCATCAATTTACAAAGTCAATACATAATTTGTTCAAAGAATCATTACAGTATGTATTTTCTTCTTCCAGATGAGGATAGTATCCAGGATCCCCAGAACTATGCAACAGCTAATACTAAATGCTCAATAAAAGCTTTGGATTTTCTTTTTTTTAATGATATTCCACAGCTCTGTGCTCTGATAGGAAAAAGTCCAATTGGGCATTACTTTGGTTTTCTTGGAATTTGTATATTATGGATTAAACTAGATTATTCAAAAGACCCATTTTTAATATTTACATGTATAAAACCACTGAGTATGGCCTGGGAATAAGAGAGCCCAGAAACAAGCAAACAGCGTTGATATAGGTTGAGTCTATTTTTCTCCAAGGTCGTAATATATAAACACGACATTCTAAGAACCTTTTTCTGTCAGAATTTGCTCTGTTAAATTGACTGTTGCAATGAAACCAAACAGTGGTTTCATCTGACTCATGTTATAAGAGAGAATGTGTAGATATCTAGTTAACTGATCCAAGTTTGTGAGTTTCTAAAAGGATGTCAGGAGTTGGCATAGTCTGCTGGCTTACGTTTGGCATATGGCTGGAATGTGTTTCTATATGCAGAGGTTGGTGCCTGGCTTACTTTTCATGATCTCAAAAAGGCAAAAGCCAAGCAGGGTCAGAACTCTTTAGTTCTGGGATGGGGGACCATCAGGACATCCCAGGTTGATAGACAAATGTGTGAAGTGAAAAAGTTGTCCTGGAAGAAGGCAATAGCAAACCAATCAGAAATTGTTACCAAGATAACAACATGAATCCGTCACATATACTCTGCAACCTGCCAAAGAACAGAAGGCAAGGTGGAGAACAATAAAGAGAATAAAATTCAAAACAAACAGATTGACATTGCATTTATTACGCTTTTTAATTAAATGTGATTAAAATAGAGGTTAAACCTTGGGCGAAACCCAGTTTAAAATTGGGTTCTTCAAGGAGAATGCGAATAAGAGACACATTTGCTTTCAAAAGAGAATGAAAGATACAATTTAGGACAGAGATTGCACACTTGGTGCTTATGGTAGGAAGTCGGAAAGAGTAATGAAAAAGGAGAAGTCAACTAGGACTCTATCGACACGCTCAGGAAAGACTGACAAACAGTAACAGAATCCCAGGGTGTGGAAAAAGGCTTCTGAAGAGGATGATGCTTAACTAGCTACCCACTTAGTCATTAAATACTAGCCTTAAGTGATACTCTTGTGCATATGGGTAAAATGAAACTCTGAAAATCAAGCTTTTGGTGATGCATGCTTCAGAATTACAGAGCCAGCTGTTCGCACATATGTGTGTAGGACTGAATTCAAAATTATAGTGTAAATTGGTTGGGAATTTTGATTTGTCTCTAATTATGTAATCTTTGAATAATCAATCTGTACTAGAGTAGGAGGTAGGAATTTCTGAACAGAAATGAGAGCTTGTAGGAAATGGATCATTCCTTGACCCCTTTCATGTACAGTGCAAAAAGCCGGTTTCATCCTCTCTGGTAATGATCAGTGCTAGGGTAAATGAGTACACTTCTATATCCGCTATTTTTTTTTTAACCACTTCCCTAAGTGCTCTTGTTCTATTCCACATGGCAGTTTCTCAGGCCCCATAGCTTTACTCCTTATTTTAATATTTGGGAGAAACATATTTTCTAAGGAAGCTTCCAAATCAAGAGGAATAGAAATGAGCAAATTCTTCTTTACTCTTCCCTGCATGAGAATGGAAGAAATCAGTAACATGATCTCTAATTTGCAATTATTTGTTTGCAATAAAACATGCCATAGTTTATTGCTTCTGAACACAGCCAAGGATACTTTTTCTATGGTACCATACCAACAGTTTGATGGAATAGCTGTATGCATCTACTGTCTTTGGATTGTTTTACATTTTGCTTGTTAAACACACAAATACACTTTATTATTAAATGTAAACTTGACAAATGGTCACGGCTGGTCCCAACTGTTATATGACATTACATGATGCATGATAATTTATTACTTGGTGCATTGACAAGTATTGCTTTTTGGAGTGCATGTAAAATAGATTATACATTCATCTAAAAAAATGTGTAATGTATAAAGCAGTCATCAGTGTATGGGGGGGGCAGGGGGGCAATAAAAGCCATCAACAGACACTGTGGTTACTGTTGCTTGTCTCTGTGCAGTCACTCCAGCCAGCCAACCCTGAGTTAGCTTTTGTAGGCCACCCGCTATGGCAGCAGCACACTTGACTCCATACAAAGAACGCTAATAGGAAATGGCTGATAAATGAAGTGTCTTGATTAAATTTTACTTTGCCTCAAATGGTGTGTGAACTGCATTGTTAAAAGGGTCTCTCAGTGGTAAGAGAGGCCTGGCTGATTGCCATGGTTATTCTGGTCCTTCCTGGTGACAGAATGATGTCCATATGATAGGAGTCTCCCGAGGCTATTTCTAATCCTAGACAGAACTGTATTCAATTCTCGTAAATCCAAGGGTGCTCTGCATATGAACTTAATTCTTCTGTATTTCACAAAACAACCATTTTGTAGGAAAAGATGCCCTGAAGTTTTTGCAGAGGGATGCAGTGTTGCAGATGGTTGCTTTCCCATTCTTTTGGCTTTTCAGTGCCATGCCTCTCTAATTAAGTTTGAGGAAATAAATTTAATTTGAAACCTGTAGCCCGAGCAGTTCCCCCTTTGTGTTATAGAATGCAGAGATGAAGAAAAACTGGTTGCCTTCCAGATGCTGCTGAATTAAAGCTCCCAGCATTCTTCACTATCAGTCAGCAGGCTGGATCCTGAAAGCAACATCTGAAGGGCCACATGTTCTCTCCTATTGTGGAATTTTGATGGATGAAATGGGTAGGTTCTGCCCCATTGCTTTTATTGGCCATTTCCTGTTTCAGTTTAGTAGAGGATAAAGTTGGTTAAGAAAAATGCTAAACTTCTGCATTTAAAAGAATGTTCTCAGTTGAGTTTTTCACCAACCTCTTTGAAAGGATGAGCTCAAAAATATGCTGAAGAGACCTTCCTCATCCTATGAAGTTGCCTTATGCTGAATTGGGCCTTTGGATCATCTTCCCCAGGGCTCTCTTTTTCGTGTGGTAATGGCTCTCCAATCTGGCTGAAATCTTGAACTGGCCTTGGCACTGATTGTACTTGGAGCATCTGCTCTACAACTGAGTAAAACTGAAACCGCACTTCTTCCTACTTCCTATTCCTACTTTTTCTGTTATTTCTGTTTAAAGTGTATGATTGTGTGGTTTTAAAGATTGTCTCCTTGCTTCTTTTTTTCATGTGCATTTCATGTGCATTTCAGGTCCTCCAGAAACTTGGCAAAGCTGATGAAACAAAAGATGAGCAATTTGAACAGTGTGTGCAAAACTTTAACAAACAGCTGGTAAGTGAGTTTTAAGGATTTATTCATTTATTTGTCCACCTATTCTTTTATTTTATGAACTGCCTTTCTACTTAAACAAATGCTAGCTACATAATTTTAAAAGCCTTGAACATTCTTGATTACTGTTTTTTTTTAAGTTAATGGAATGAGGAATAGTTTTTTTTCAAAAAGGGGTAAGGCAAGATAACAGCACTAGGAAGATGTAGTAATGCATATTCATCCATTAAGTTTTGAAGTACTCTCACTATTTGGATGAAAAGATGTATTATTACTATTATTTATTTATTTATTAAATTTGTATGCTGCTGACTCTGAGCGGCTCACAAGTAAAAATGTTTTAAAAAAACCCAGAGACAAAAATAAAAGAATAAAAGATGGCAAAGATGATAAGAACCAGACAGGAATGAAAAAGAAACAAACTCAAATAATTCAAGGGGCTTCAAAACCCTCGCCAAAGCCTGGGCAAAGAATATAAATGTATTCCATATTAATTCAGTTAAAGGTTACAAAAAATGTAACACAGTGACTAACACTCCTCTCCTTCCCTGATCTTAATTGGTATCAAACTAACGCCAGATTGTCAGGAATGACTCGGGGTACTTAGATTTCAGTCTGCTTACCTTGGTATAAGATTTTCAAGGAGTATTTGGCAAAATTTAGAGGCATTGATTGATTGCTGTAACCACCTTTCCCTTCCTGTAAATAGCATAAAATATTGAAAAACTGCAGATAGCCCCTTCTTTTAAACCTCAGTGTACTTTAATGACTTATTTAATTTGAAACAAAAGAAATAATTCTCTTTCTCTCCCAGTTCTTCTTGTTAGAATATAATATCTGGCACCATAAAAAAATACAACTGAGCAATTTCTGCTTGGTTATTGCAAGAATGCATCATTCAAACATAAAATAACGTTGTGAGGGAATACATTGGCAAAATGTTAAACAAATTAATCCCCTCACAAAAGGTTTGTATGGAACAGACTATGTCCCATTTAATGGAATATGTACAAAACTTGGATTTTTAAAAAATGCAAGTAGAACAATGAACAAGTATAATTTTTTTTACTTATTTGTTTAACTGGGTTCTCTTTATCTAGTTTTAGGAGTTGTGTGGAGTACAGATCACT